TTACAAAACGCTCTGCAAACTGGTCTCTTAGAAAGCAAAATTTAGTCGCAAAAAATGGCAAAAAAAAAACCAAGCAACAACGAATCGAAGATTGCAATAAGACAGCCAATTATTTCGCGATTCTCTGACGCATTCAGCAGCCCATGACGCAATTCTCGTGCTACAAGCTGCGCATGCCTTCAGCATATTTCTAATGTAAAATTTATCACACAAAGAACTGCGCAGTTTAGTTATACTGACAGATGGAGTAAAAAATTGCCATTCAGGATAGACTGATAGCATCAAAACCACCCAACTTCTTTTTTTTCTTTCAGAAAAACCCTACAAAAGTTACCTTTAAACAAAAACTTTAATGTTCTTGGATTAAAACAGCAGTATCCGCTGGCAAAAAATGGGCCAGTTTGGCTAAATCATGCCCATTTGCTAAAAATGTACGTACACACTTTTCTTCTCCTACTTATACACTGCACTTTTGGTGCTTCAGAAATGTTTCAGGCTTTTTACACACAAACACCTCCTAATTTTGCATCTCTTTTGCATATTTTCGCAGAACAACACAATCTTCATTTGATTCTCCATCTGAATTTTGCACCCCACGCGCGATTTTTGATTTTTGACATAGAAGTTTGGAATCCCTTCTCATAAAAAGCAGTGATTCTCCGGCCTACTACGAGCAAACCAGCAATACTGGCTTTAAATTGCTTGATGCCAAACCAGAAAAAAAGAACAATACTTATCTTCACTGATCTCACCTCGAATAAGCACGTTCAACTCGTCCAGATAACCAGATGGAAATCGTTCCGGGTTAGAAAAAACTTGATCAACATGTGTGCCAACAATAACAACTGGAGAATTTGGTGCACGAGCCTAAAATTTAGCTAAGTTGAGATTCCGCAAAACCTTCGAGTTCTGCTTCGTGAAAAGATCGTAACAGAACACTAAGTCCTTCTGCTATCGAATGCTTTTTTCGAAACGGATGATTAGCGGCAGAGAGTGGAGCTGATACTCCGCCAGTTTAAAGCAAAAATGTGGTCTTCACTGTGTTGCTTTTATTCGAAATTCAGCCTACTTCCTGCGTTGCTGCTCGTCGAGAAAAAATGTTGGTAAGTTTAAGAAAATCTAATTGGACAATCTGTAAAAGTCAGAGAAAAAGATGGTTGAATGGTCGAATCATAAGTTCTTTATACAGAAATTTAAATATAGCATTTTCAAGATATGTCTGAAATTTTCATCTAATCCATCCGATAGCCGCCAAGCAAATGACTGAATTATTAATAAGGATAACGGAAAAGTCATGCAAACCTGAATGTTAACGAGCCACTGATGAATATCGGGCAGTGCTGCTTCACCGTCGGTTGTCTTCCAAACAAGTACATAGAGAGAGCGTCTCGACAGGAAGTACTGGTGTGTTGCGTAA